GTTATTCTTGGTATAAGTTTCTCAGTCGCAATATACCACTTTTTTAGTATTCAAGTTACAAATATCGCTGCATAACCTTTTCTCAAGATATGTACCCGTGTCTCGTATGTGATATTTCTAAAACGACAATCTCAACTTCGACATAGAAAATTGCGGACGTCAGAACACGATGAGAATTTTTTAAGCCGTCGCCATTTTTATGCCCTTTGAAGCGTAAAACGTTCAAGTCTGGCAACGCAGAAAGCTCCCGCATAAATTATGCATCCGGAAGGGTGAAATTCTCTGCTGCGCAAACTTTGGGCTTGCCACGTTCTCGACGCCCCGAGATCGTATTTGTAAAATTCAACTGATATTAATGAGCAAAGCCGACCCTATACTTAAGAAGAACGTTCTTATGTTGTAATATTTCGCGACGTAGAACCAAACGATAAGTCGTAAACGCTGGCTTTGTCAAAACTATGAAATTATAATATTAATTCCCCGTACAATCCCATAAACATTTCAACCCTCTCGGCAAGTATTTATTAGCAGCAAATACATTTAGATTTATATGATCTGATAGAAAGAATTTCCTTTTTATTTCCACGATTTGTTTTTTCTTTCTTATTTATTTACGTTGCGTTATCGTTTCGCAAATAGCTAAATATTGATTTTGGCGAATTTCGGTCGACTAAAATACACTGTAGTATTATATCTCTGTTAACTGTAACGAATTGTAATTAATCGCGACGGTTTATGATACAATGTTCGTTTTTTGACTCGTGTAATTAAAATTAATTATGGCTGTTTGTAGCGAAGCGGACAACGCAGGAGTTAATTAATTGCTCGCGATGTATTGTTCCACCGCATCGAGTAAGTCTTCACGGTTCTCTTCTCGTACCTTTGTTACCAAAAGATCCTTTCTCCTTTGTCCGGCTTTTACGTCGGACCCTTACGTCGGAAATTAATACGTTTCTCAAATTATACCACGAAGAATTTTTTAACGCTACATCAAACAATTGCGCTACCCTGCCGCAATAAAACGCTAAATTGGTAAAAATATATTTCTCGGGAACTAATTAAGATTAGATAAGTTAGATATAAGTTTATTGCGATCGAAACGGCGACATTTCTATAATTACAAAAGTTTCGAAAGTTTTCATTATTTTTTAATCGAATACTCGTGAGGATTCATTATTCAAAAAATTCGGCGGGGAGTTTTAATATAATCAGGGTTCACTTCACTTCTGTCTGACGTCAAAGTTTTCTGGCATTATAATTTTTCACGCTTAATGCAACAAACTTTACTTGACGCGCAGGTGTGTAGTATTCGAGGATCTTTCCCGTAAAACTTCCTAACCCGGTAACACCGACGTGCGTTAACATTTTGTAAATAAGAAGTTGTCACCATCACTCATCCAGCTGGCTATTCACCGAAACCCTCCATCTTCCGAATTATATTATTATTATTATTATTATTATTATTACCAAAAGACAATAAGAGAAACGAAACGTACAAAAGATGAAAGCTATAACATAAATAAATTCAAAAGAGAAAATATAAAATGGTAATATAAATACACAAAAAAATTTCTATTGACAATTCCAAGGAATATTTCTCAGTATTTCTTTAATGGTATATCGACGCGTTTATGTTATTGTTATATGATATCTCGCACAGTAATCTCGGGACTTAAAACAACATAAAACGAAAAATGTGGAAAACGTAGATTTATCGAGCTTGCGAAAAGCACTGATTGAAAAACACTATTCAACGATATTACATTTGCACAAGCAATGCAGTATCCTAGCAAACTCCACCAGTTTAAACATAAAATACTTATCGTTATAGAAAACGTTTCGAAACAACTCTGAGTAAACTTAACATAAAAGAAAATTGTAAAATGTAGATCTTTCGAGAGAAGGTTATTTTAAAAAGTCATAGGATACCAGCTGCGCAAACAATAGCATGCCAAAAGTTCGGTAGCACGAAAATTACTAAGTTACGTTCGTCGAAGTAAATTCAACTGATTATGAGGGCATTATAGGTGATCATCCTAACTGACGTCGCGATATATAACATTTTGACTATATCTACCGAAAGTAATTATCGTAGTATTACAGAAGTCTACGGACGAGATGTGCTGTATGTCAAAGTTTCCAAAGTTTATTCAACGGGGATCCTGAGAGAAGCGTTAATTGTAGTTGGCAAGAAAATGTACGTTTCAATTGGCTTTTAACTTCCATGAATGTGAATGGATATAGGTGAATGCACTTTATCGGTTACGGTTTTCGCTATTCGATTTATTTTAATTGGAAGGTATCAAATAAAAATAAGTTAAACCGTGAAATTTGGAAAAAGTGCGCATACAGCCAGATCGACAATACAAAACTTTGCATTAAAAAAAGGGGGGAGATGATTGAAGTAAAACTCGATATCGCACGCCATTAAAAAAGAAATCCCTTAAAATATTTCTTGCAAATTTTAAACTTGATTTACTGCGAACTACTAGCTGATGGATGAAATTACTTTTACATAATACCGGTCGATAAAGCTGTACAATTTGAAAGAATAAATCGATCATTGGCACATTGGTGGAAATAGCAGATGAATATGCCACTGCAATCAAAATAAAATACAAAAAGAGTGCAAAAAATGCTTTATCATTTAATGCAGGGGCTCGTCAATTTTACTCGCGCGACCATCACGGACGAGTGACTCGACGAAGCTTTTCGCGTCATCCCACACCGCACCACACAAAATTTCCCATGGAAATTATTTTCGATAACGCCCTGACGTTTAACGGCTGAAACGCGCGGTATTACCGGCGGCTCATACACGTTTCATCGGGCATAAGCCACCGTGGCTTCGAACAAGAGTGCAACAATCAAGGGACATACTGTTCTAACAGAGACTAAATAAAAAAATCATTTATAGAGTTATGTATTCTACGAGAGAGAAAGTGCTGAACAGAATGCCGATTTAAAAATCATGAACTTTGTTTTGCGAAGAGAAGGATAAAGGGAAATCTGCAGAGAGAAGTAATTGTATAATAACTTTATCTTAAACTGTAAGTTATTACCGTTTCATAATTTATATATTAATCTCATAATGTAGAATTAATGTTTAATATCACTGTTAACAATAAAATTTATATTAAAATTTAATGTTCTCAGATTATTTTCCCTCCTTCGGTATGACTTACGATATACCGTTCAAATTATTTATATTAATCCACAAAAAGAAATTAATAATTTCATGGAAATGGAGTTATTATCGTCTTGGAATACACTTATCTACTCGCTTCATATTTTCTGTGGAATTTTATATTTCATATATAAGGGCAGTAAATTAAGGCTGACACCCGGGCGGAAACCGCCCTTAGCGCGTCGTCCCTGGTCGGACGCGCCGTCGTCGTTGTCAGCCGACTTTATCGCGAAGGTGCAATTTATTGTAGGAAATTATCCTTCGTCGCACGCACGCACGGAGACTGACAATTATATTTTTCTACCGTCTGACCGTGAAGCTGTCCCTTCGACCACCGCTCGCATTCGCGGAATGTCTCCTTCGTCGTGCTCACTTTGTCCGCTCGCGGATCCGAGAGGCATCACGTTATAGAGACGCATCGAGATGCATGTGCGTGACATCGATCCGCGAGAAGGACCGAGAGGACGGACCGACGGACGGTCGAACGGGACGGGGAAAAAAAAGTGCGCGAAAGAAGGAAACGGCGCACACAGAAAGGAGGATAAATTGCACAGGGGACGCGGATTTATTCGAGCGCGATACGTTACCGCGATACGTGACGCGACTCGGCGTGAATCGACGAGCCCGCGATACTTTTGAACGACGACGCCACTTTCGCTCGACAGACAATGCGTATTCTCGCGATTTGACGAGGGAATCAGCAACGGCAGTTGGTTGAAAATCACCGGGAAGAGAGGGGAGACGAGAAGGAAAGCGAGAGAGATAGAGAGATAGAGAGAGAGAGAGAGAGAGAGAGAGAGAGAGAGAGAGAGAGAGAGAGGAGGAGAGGGTGGAGGGAGAAAAAGACTCTTCCTCACACTAGGATGAGCTCGCTCTAATTCGTCGATGGTAGTTATCAAGCTGGCTGGCTCCTGACAGTTTACGTGAATACGCGACGAATTTAAAATAAAACCGCGTCGCGATAAATTCCATATCTGCGTTCCGACGCGATGCCGTAAACGACTGACATATTCCGCTGCAATTGATATCGTTTTTTTTTTCGATCTCCTCCATTGTCTACAATTCAAAGAGTATCTATATAATATACAAATTATTTCCACTTCGCATTGTATTTCACTGACAGATTCTTTACTCAATTTGGAATCGATTTTCTTTGAACGAAAATACACGTGTCCACAGAGGGATCATTTATCCGCAATTTTCCAATCTTCTTTATTATATGTTTTAATAATACAAAGATTCTTTTATATTAAAATTATTGCTAAAGCAACGTCCAACGTATCAATGAACGTGATTTTAACTCTAGTAAAAAGTTTACGAGAAAATGCGTCAATATTTAACATCACGCAAAATGTTGAAGTTCAATATTTATCGATCGTATTTTTTGTCCGTGCTTTCAGGCGATTTTTCGCTACACATATATCCTGTGGAACTCGAGGACGACGGCACGTATCAATGTCAGGCTTCGCCGACAAACGACGGACAGCCGGCTTTACGATCGAGATTTGCCAAGCTAAGCGTACTAGTACCACCGCAGAAGCCGAAGATCCTGCAGGGTGACTTCCTCGTCACCACCGAAGATCGCGAACTGGTGATCGAATGCGTAAGCAGCGCCGGAAAGCCACCGGCGGAGGTGAGTATCCTTCTCTCTTTTCACATCTTCCGGCATCTTTTGTCAACGTACATATATCGATAGGATTACCCGAGATTAGACCGGATTAATCGCCGTGAAAGCACAACCCCCGGCGATTGCATCTGGAAACTTCGCGGATATCCCGATGGGCAATACTCCGCCTCGAAGATTACGCTCGATCGATTTTACGACGAGGCGTGCCCTTTCCTTAATGTTTCTCACATTTCGGAGGACGTCTCTATGTACACGGATTATCCATCGCGAGTCTATACGGGAAGAAATAATAAAAAGGACACCTGGCTTTTTACAGTCTATGGCAAACATTTTCGGTGCGACGTGACGCACGAGTCGTATATCAATACTTCGTATCTAATAATATATCTCAAGTTATATTTATATATATAATATTATACACATGTATCTAATAGTATATCTTAACGCGGCTCTATATATATATGTGTGTATGTGTGTGTGTGTGTGTGTGTGTGTGTGTGTGTGTGTGTGTAAGCTGAATTATAGCCACGGATCCGTCGTAAAAAAGGATGATCATATCCATATATCGACTCCCTTTGTTCGTGGCAGATTGCTGCGCAGAAATACAAAGTACGAACTATTTTTCTCACGGTTAACCTTTCCAAAACTATGCGTCAAATCGCTGAATCGTGATACAGTGCTGTTTTTTGTCGCGTGGAAATAAACAGATTGCTGAGTGGCTGGACAATGTCGCTCGGTGTCAAAGTGTTAGATCCATTCGAGAGAGCTTTCGTGTCGCACGGATCTGTAGCCGTTGCCGGGATCGGTAACGTGAAGAATGCGGCCCGCGTTATGCCTGCCGATTAACTGGCACAGAGAATTCGAGTGCGACACGCTTAGTAAATAGTACCGAATCTGCCCTGAAAATCTGAAACGAGGCCGGAGCCACGGGCCGCGTTTCTTGCTGCGAAGTCCACTCAGCAGAACGCGCGTGGTTCCAAGCAACAAAAACAACTTCGAAATCACGCTCGGTGAGCCTGAGATTTATGTGGGTTACCTATGTCGCTATCCACATCCAACCCGTCAGTTAATACCGATTGTTCCACCAGCAACTCCACCTCTCCTAAACTTATAAACGTAATAAAATACACGCGCGTTTGGCACCCGATACGATACGTATGTAAACGTGTGTAAATAACGAGAGTAAAATACGAGAGGAAACGCGAATTAGTTTGAAAAGTAGAAAGAACAATATAATTTGCGCGTTGTATTATACGATGCTGTACACTATAGCTAATAAATTAGCTTCGTTAGCAGTTATTGTTTTTACACTCAATACTACATAATAACAGCTTGATAATACGCGTACATTTTTAACATTAAGACAAATATTTTAATCGTAATAATAGCGATAACGTGATATGCTATATATGCTACGATACAATTATCCTCACATAAAATATCGTTAAAGAGGATGGATAAATGCTTTGATATATTACACTCAGTCCAAAGTGTCTGCTTTACGAGACACAGGTAATACCAGGAAAAAGTTCTCGTTAGCTCCATGAGCTTGCAAGATGTGTTTCCATAATATTCGTGACAAAAGGAAGTTTATCCGTATATAAAAGAGCTTAAACTTAATGACTGCTCTGCAGATAAGGGTTTTCCATTACGCTAATGTACCGCCTACGGATTTCATACGGCGCGCTTTATTTTCATTCATTACATAGCAGAAGTTCGGCTATGCGGGTCCTAACAACATCGGAAGTTATCACGGCTGCATAACTTTCCATTACAATTGCACGCTAAGAAGTTTTTCGCAAGACAACACGTACAGGCCGTTCCAAATCTATTTATTTCACCGGCTTTCATATAAAAATTTACTAGCCTATTTAGAATCGACTAACTTATTTAATAACATAATACTAATCGTAGGCAGATCAATAATTGCTTTGATAACAAATGACTGCCAAATTAAGGAAATATATGCAAATATTTTAATAATTTCGACGGGTAAACAACTTCGTTACTTACAAGATACTCGACAAAATAAATTTCTGATTTTATTACAAGAAAAAATACATATATAAAAAAATTATGGAAATATTTGTTCTTTTATTTATATTTTATAACTATATCTTTTTATACGTTAGATACAGAAAAGAACAAAAACAAGATATTTTATTATCGCGAGCGAGCAATTCGTTAAAAGTTACGAAATGTAGTGTGTCCAATATATTTTGTAAATGTACAAATATTTCAAGGACGCGAAGCTCCAGCACGAATTTTACCCTCAGATAAATATGATACCGACGGTCACTGTCGTTAATATAAATCCGGCCTACCAGGAGTGGCTAGTTAATCGGTGACTGGCGAAGAATTTAATGAAATTTGTTTCTCGATCGCTCGCAAACGCATGCTTTTTAATTAAAATTATGCAAATCCATGATTAATGGCGCGATCGGAGAATCGACGCGTGAGTAATGATCACAGAATATTTAAACACGAAAAAAATATCCATTTTGAATGTGTTCTGCGACACACAAAAAGAATACATTAAATTATAGGACGACTGAAATGGTCTACTGCAATCTAATAGAATATTGAACTACATAATCCTACAGAAGTTCTATAATTTTGGTAGAATATTAATAATCAAAATATGCGGCATGACTAGTCAAAGAAATTATTTAATGACTTTTATGACTATTGTATGTGCCATAGATTATATATATTTTTTTGTAAATTTAATTCCATAATGCATTGAATCATAATCGTGCAAATCGTAAAAAGTATCATATTTATGAGGGCTTAATTTACACATTATTCATCACCACGAAACCACATTCGCAAATCCATTAATTAAATCGATATTTTCTGGCGTTACAAATATTATTGCATTTGTAACTGGAAATAGGTTGGAAATACGTACAACATTTGGATTTCAATCATTTGAATCGTCTCATTATACACGAAATTCTCATCCAACTATTATTTTAACCGCTTTATGAAAAGTTCCATAAGATGTGCTAATGACCGCACCTATAGATATCAAAATGTATTGAAGAAAAAAATCGCGTTCTAACAAAAAAAATAATACATGAATAAAAAATAATAAAAAAATATCCGACCTCTTCACAAAATAACAATTATTTTTACAACGATGTGAAATAAGCTATTTCATTCTGTACAAAATAATTAATAGTTTTAATGTCACGCAATGTTTAAATTTTTAATATTTGTTCGATATAATACGGTCATATACGTAATTGTATGAACTCTGCATTATCTTATTCATTTTCATTATCTAAATTTTTTATTCCCAGCTTTTAGGATTGTTCCCAGCTTTTAAGATTTTATTCCCAGCTTTTAAGATCGTTTCACTTTTGGTATTAAAAATTTATTTTTCGGCACGATAGTACTTTTCGTAAATTTTCGAATTACATTATTGCATTTGGCTCTGTTCACTCAAACAATAGACTACCTTCATAATCGATCATTGACGTGACTCAACGTTATCCGCTCACGGAGCGGAAAAATGGAGCGAAAGCTACTCGCAAAATTCCGATGCATTGTTGGATCAGTGAAAACGTTAGTGCAAGAGGGAAAGAGTGGAGCGCTAATCACGCGATATCGTGCGTAAAATTCGTGCGGTTTCATCGTTAAACTGCTTCTCTAGCATACCCAATAGCACGCTGCGTGTGGTATTATCAGTGCACGTAAAGTAAAATGTATAAGGTGCCATAAAATGTAATAACTTTAAGTCGGCAATATAACCAACGCGAATAATACATTTCGCTCTCCTACTTCAAGAATTGATGTAATAGACGTTTATGGCAAAAGCCATAGTTTCAAACATTAAATGCCTGTCAAAATACGAAACTTTTTGGCGACAGATTCAGATTGGGGAAAATCTGTTTATCGATTTATAAGATTGCCGTAGGCGAACGATCCAGTTACATCTGAACGACGCAAAACATATTTATATTTGTTTTTTTTTTTTACTTTTGATTTGTCACTGAAAATTTTGCAATGGTTGGAACGAGCGAACGCCGCGTTGTCGAAACGCACGTTTGTTTGCACAAGCCTCTTATTAAAAATGTGTACGGCTAATTTTTTAAAGACTACTTCAAAGGAGGCAAAAATAAATTTCCAATTATATATTATACTTATATTCATCGATTAACTGAGAATGTCGATATTTCCAATAAATTTAAATATTTCAATAAAATCTAATTTAATTAAATTTATATTACATTAAATGTATTATAATATATTTCATCTAATTTATATTACCAATTAAAATAAATTAGAAAATGAAATTAGATTTACAAATGTAAAACCTATTATATGTTTTTTTTTAAAGAAGCTAATAAGAAATGATCGTATAAATGCATCTTCTTTACGCCAAAAGAAAACGATCTCAAGAGGTTAATTAAATATTCGGTAAACTCTTAGAATTCGCTTGTTCTTTAATTCGCATTCCGCGCTGTGTTCTCGCGTATCGAAAAGTTTACGAGGATGAATAAAACAGAAGGATTTTCCGAAATAATTTTCACAAAGTCGGGTAACTACGAAGTTGTCTCCGTCGCGTATAATCTCGAAATTAATATTAAACAGCGTCTAATAATTGTTCCCAAACACGTGACGTCTACTTGCCGCGATTCTCACACAATTGTTTAAATTATTGTATTCCGTACACTTTCACTCTGATGATATCTTTCACCTCCTATCTCGCTCCTTCGTCTTCCCGACAAGGCCAAAGTTTCGAGACTTCCCGTCGTATTACCGCCGAAATGCTCCTCGCAAGATACCACAACTTTCCTCAAGACAGGATTTTAATATTATTTGTATCCTATTACCTATATTATCGTGCTTTATTTATCTCGTGTTATCCAAGAAAGGTTATGCAATAAATATAGGAAACGTCGGTATGCTTGAAACTGTCAAGCGAGATGAACCAACAATTTGCCGACGATCGATTTAACTTGAAAAATCTTAGGAATCTCTCCGCGCGCGATAAAATCGAAGGGAACATTTAATAAATGCAAATCCCTCGATTTTACGACTTAATGTACAAGCCATCTCGTTCCCTCTGAGATGCTCGGTCGGGCGACGATTCTAAGCCGCCGATATTGCTGAATCTATCGCGGCCTTATCGGCCTTCATTAGGCGAATCGCACGGGAGAGGAAGAGAAAAGGAAGGAAAAAGCGAGAGGGAGAGCGAGAGAGGGAAACTGTGCAATTCCGCTAGAAATTCAGAGTCACCACAGTCGAATGCTTCGCAGCTCTCGCCATAATCCGATTTCGCTTCTCTCTTCTT